GGGGGGGGGAAAAAAATCAGCCAATCAAGTCTGACTGGCAGCCATGACAGCCATCGAAATTTTGTTCATATGTCTACACACTCAGCACCGTGCTCAGACACGTTTGACAATTGGATTTCTTCATTTATCACTGTTTTGGTACACATTTTAATCTTGAAAACTGTCATGTTGCCTTTATAACTGCGTGTGTTGGACAGGGGGAGTGCGGGAATCATAAAAAATAAAAAATAAACACTCAAACGCCTCGTGTTGGGAAGGCAATGTGAGCCCCTATTAATAATAGTAATGGCCTCTATTGCGTATTTCTCAAATTGTATTTATTTTTGTTTAGATCTGACATGTTTTGATATTTTTCTTTGAGACCCAGGTGGGAACTCAACAGCAGTAATTTACTGTACATCAGTTTTATATTTCGTGAGACTCCTTCTGACTCTGAATAGAATACACTGTTGTTGTCTGCTGCTATATTTTAGAGAGATTGATGCTATTGCCATGCGTTCGACTAGCAACCGGAAGTTAGCGCGCTTCCATAGCCCGAATGCGTAAATGGTGCGTGCATGTAGTCCATTCCAGTAATAATACATTTTGGTTGCATTTTTATGAATAAAAACTTAATATGGCATTTAGGAGTGCACATGGTGCACTCCTAAAAAAACGATAACTACCATGATGGTAGTTACCATTTGTTTAGTTGGTGTTAAAGAGTATGAAGGGGTCCGTTAAAAACGTTTTCCCATGTCGGAGGTCCCCAAACCAAAAAAGATTCCCTAGTGCAGAGCTACCTAATAAAGAGATTGTAAGTGTAGACTGGTTTATCCACTCACCTTCTCTGACCGTGAGGACAACTTTTTGGTATATATCCGGACCAATTTTTTCCCATCCACACCAGTAGGTCCCAGCATCCTGCTTTGTCAGATGAAAGATTGTAACATTGAAGATATTTCTCGCATCTACTATGCTGTATTTCTCTTGAGAATACCATTCCCTGCTTTTTATTAAGACATCTTTATCACGTTTACAGACTGAATTGCAGAAGTATTTGACATTATCAAATGCACTGTCGTGAGAGCATGTTATTGTTATGTCCTTCCCAGATACTCCTGTCACTTCAACCACCGTGCTTGCTCTCCCTGCACCAAACACAGAAAAGAAACCACTTATATAACTTACTTTGTAACTTGCAATTCAATGGGTGACAGTACAGAAAATCAACAACAACAACAAAAGAAAAAAAAAACACGTAAAATGAGTTCTTTGTTACCTTGCATGAGAAATGCCATGACAAGGAAAAGTATCTCCATGCTTTCTTTCATCGGTTCGTTTTTACTTTTGGTCTCGTCCAGCTCTTGGTTGTCCTTGCTTGGTTCCTCTTTGCTGCACTTCCTCTGTCAACATCTGCCTCTGAAAAACGTGAGAAGAGCATGCGAAAATTCTTCCGTATCCTGATGTAAACGCAGGCGGCAAGCTCCTTGCACCTGATTGCTCTTCACCACACTAGATTTTCCCGAGATATATATATATATATATATA